CTGACCTGACCCCGCAGCCAGGCGAGAAGCAGCCGCTGGATCTGGGGAAGCTAGTGAGCTCGGTGGCGGCCCAGAGGCTGGTGTTGGACACTCTCCCAGGTAGGGAATGTTGGCCCCAGGCGTGGTCCCCGGGGCTGACCGACCCAGGAGTAAGGGGGGCTCCAGGCGGGAGATGAACACAAAAGGTGGCGCTCTCTGCCACAGGTGTGAAGATTTCCGAAACTGGCGACACACATCCCCGCCGAAGCCAGGTGAGCGAGAGGCGGAGAGCCCACTTTTGCCCACCACACCTCTCCTCCTGGTTGTGGCTCTGACCCCACGTTCTCGCAGCGCACCACACCTGGAACCCAGAACAAGGGCATCCATCTCCCTCCACTGCCGCTCAACTCCCTGGCCGAGGCTCCCAGTAGTGTCACTGGGAAGCGACAGACCTGTGACATTGAAGGTACCTTGGGGATGGTGGGAGCGAGGGGCCAGTGGAGTTGGGAGCATTGAGATGGCATCAGGGGGCCAAATGCCATTTGAGCGGGAACAGGAGGTTGGAGGACCAGCAGGGCAGGGATGGGGGCCAGAGGGGGCATTGGTGCAGGGGTCCGGAGGCTGTGGCCACAGTGTGGCAGCAGGACTGTGGTGGAACAGTGTGTGCAGGTCTGTGTGGGTGGGCCCCTGACTCTGTGGCCACCCCCAGGCCTGGTGGAGCTGCTGAACCGGGTACAAAGCAGCGGGGCCCACGACCAAAGGGGCCTTCTGCGCAAAGAGGACCTGGTGCTTCCAGAATTTCTGCAGCTGCCTGCCCCAGGGCCCAACTCCCAGGAGGCCCCACCACAGACTGAATCATCAGCCCAGCCCAAGAGGGGCCCCTTGGACTCCACCGCCCACTCTGCCCTCTGACAGCCGTCCAACAGTCCAGGCTGGCCGCATGGCACCTGGCGGGCCAAGCATGCCATGGTCCCGCCCTGCATGCCCTGTCTGTGCTGTGAGTGTCCCTGGCCCCTTCCTGCCACGGGCAGGCCCGAAGGAAGAGCCAGGAGGGTTTGGAGAGGGGCTCTGAGTAGCCACACCCCACAGCTACCACCCCTTGGTCCCTCACAGGCTTGCCCTTCCAGCCCTTGCAGCCAGGCCACTGGGGGGAGGTGGGGCTCCCCTCCTTTCTTTCTCTACCCTGTGCAGGCATGCCCATCACAGAGGGGCGGTGTTGGCAGTGCCAGCCTCCCCACCCTGTGCCAAGCTTCATCAGGGAGCAGGAGGAGGGGCAGGCCCCTCCTCAGGGAGCCAGTATGAGTAAGGCCTGGGGGGGTAGGTGGGGAGCCCCTCCCTCTAGCCACCGGACTCTACTGGATATACAGATTTTGCATTTGGGTTGGGGCAGCTAGGTTTGTCCTGGATGTATAATATTGTTATTATAATAATTATTATTATTCTGCCTTGAGGTGTGTTCCTTGTATACCCTGTACCGGTACTCTACCCCCCAAACCACACTGCATCTGTCATCAAGGTCACAGTGCCTGGAGTTCCCCCTGACTTCCTGTTATCAGAACTTCTCTTCTTGACTGTACAGAGTGTGGGAAGGAGAGAGAGAGAGAGAACACAAGAGGGAGGGAGAGGAAAGGGAAGACCCTCTGGGTAGCTGTGCCTCTGCCAGGTATGATCATACTATTCCTTGGTTTCTGATCTGAGCACAGTGTCTAGTCACTTTCTGCTTCTTTATGGGACTGAGGGTCCCTGAAGACATGGCTGTGCTTTCTTTGGATGCATTAAAGGCCTTGTAGGGGACACTGGGCATTGTTGCAGGGGCAGGTCCTGCCCCTTGCCTGCTTTAGCTGGGGGTCTTCCCTGTCCCAGGCAGCCAGGGAAACCCCACGCAGGGAAGGGGAACAGGAAGACCTCCCAGAAGAAGGGCCCCAGCCTGTAGGCAGAGAAGCCAGGTTCAGTCCTGGTGCTGTGACAGAGGAAGCAAGGGGACCCAGGAGCTGCAAGAAGGTATCTGGGGAGTGAGGGGCCCTCTTGACCACCTCAGCAGGTTGAGCTCTCCTCCCCACCCCAGCTCTTTGCGCTTTCTGTCACCTCTGCCAGGAGCTCCAGCAGCACCACCACCCCACTACGTCACTGGAGAGATGGGGAGGGGGTTGCGTTGCTGGCCCACTATGTGTTTCTCCAGAAGTCAAAGCCAAACCTTCCTATTTAGGGGGCTTCAGCACTCTGCCCCCTCAGCCCATGTTGTTTGGCTGTGTTGACCCCCTAGCTGCTGGCATGAGCTCATGACCCAGGCCTGGCCAATCAGTTTAGTTCAGGGATGATCTCTCACCCAGTTAGAACACCAATCCTGGTCATTTTCTACCATCTCCTGGGGACTTGCAGAAAGGACCTGCAGGGAGGGGACCTACATGCAAATGAAGGCAACACAGGAGATCAGGACTGAGAGATGGAAGGAGATTCCTGACAAAATTATCTAAATGCCTACATTCCTGCATGCTCGAAGTTAGCCACTTGTAGACTTCCTCCTGAGATAAGCCCACACACTCATTCTTTGGATGTGGGTCTACTTGTTATTTTACTGGGGTTTCTAAGGTCTGCAACCAGAGTCCTGCTTCATTGAAGATCTTGTCTTAAAACACCTCAGAGGAGCCGTCCCTCGTCACCTCGCGCTGTGGCCTAACCGTGTGTGTGTGTGTGTGTGTGTGTGTGTGTGTGTGTGTCCTCACATTCATATGTTCAAATCCCAGCCCCCAGTGATGGTGCTTGGAGGTGGGGCCTTTGGAAGGGGATTAGTATGAGGGTGGGTCAGTGCCTTTATAAGAGACCTCAGAGAGCTGCCTCAGCCCTCCCACCACGTGAGGGGCACATCGAGAAGACGCCATCTGCAACCTGAAGAGAGCTCTCTCCAGACCCCAACCATGCTGCCACCCTGACCTCAGACTTCCAGCCTCTGCAACTGTGAGAAATACATTTTTGTTGTTTATAAGCCAGTCTCTGGTACATTTGTTCTAGCAGCCCAAATGGACAAAGACATCATATACCAAGTGCTCCCCAATGTTACTCTCTACCATGTTACCCAGTTTTCTTCCTTCACAGCACTCAGCCTACTCTGTAACAACCTTATTTACCTATTTATACTCATTTGCTGACAATATGATGTAGGTGCCTTAATGGCAGGGACCTCATCCCTCTTTGTCACGTCTGTATCCCCTTGGCCTAGTGGACCAACAAATGTTGCCACAGCCTCAGATAGTCCCAGCAAAGGATGCAGGGACAACAGGGCAGTGGGGATCCTGGGCAGGGGACCGCTTAGCACCAGGGTCACAGCCTGTGGCTGAAGATGTGGGTAGGGAGACAACCCATGTCCCTCCCTGATCAGCTGCAGAACCCCTCACACTTCCTGGGCCCCATGGCTTCACCCTGTGGCAGGAGACACCCTTCCATGCCCCAGGATAGAGAGGTGGGGGCACCAGGTAACAGAAAGGGTATCTTCTCAAAGTTGGCAGATCCTTAGGCCAAGCCTACCCTCCGGCAGGCCTCCCAACTGCCAGTGACGTGCCTGTCAAACTGAGGAAGCAAGGAGATTGCCTCATGAGAGAGGGGGTCGTGAGTCAGGCAGATGAGCCTCCCTAAAGGTTGGCCCCTGCAGGAGGAGAAATTCACATCTACCAAGGTCCACAGGGTAGGCACATTCCGTCCTTTATCTCATTTTTGTCCTCATAAGCAAACAGCTCAGTGGGTATGAAACCATGGCTGCAGGAAGGGAAGCGACCAGCCCAGGATTCTGCAAGGAGCTTGACGAGCCAGCCCTTAGGCTCTGACTCGGGGACACACCCCAGGAAGGGCCTGGATGCTGTAGAAATTCCTGCTGAGGAGCCAGGGCCCTTTCATGGAGGGGACATTGATATGGCTGCCCCGGGGGGCAGTTTGGGAATTTCTGCTGACAGTTTAAACCACACCTGTGTGACCACAGCAGTACCACTGGAGTCACTTGCTCCTGGGCATGAGGAAGCCCATCCCTGCAGGGTTGCTTATGACCTGAAAACTGGCAAACAGCCCATGTGGATGGTGGGGGTGTGCGATGGGTGGGGAGGGTGACAATACTTGCTGGTGTACCCATGCTCTGCAAAGCCACAGCAGGCAAGGAACTGAGTACAGTGTGTCCTGATGTGGAAAGTTCTCCAAGATGTGTTATTATTCATTTAAAAAAAGAGAGAGCAATGCATATGGCATGAGACCTTTATATAAACCACAACCACACACGCACTTGTAAGGGTACAGAAAGGAGAGAGAATGTTCTAGAAGAATACATGTCAAACTGACAGGGGGTAGAGGTCAAAGGAGATTTTCACCTTAGCTTTAAATTTTGTTGTTGCTAACCCTCACCCAAGGATATTTTTCCCATCAATTTTTTAAAAATATATTTTATTGATTTTTTACAGAGAGGAAGGGAGAGGGATAGAGAGTTAGAAACATCAATGGGAGAGAAACATCGATCAGCTGCCTCCTGCACACCTCCTACTGGGGATGTGCCCACAACCAAGGTACATGCCCTTGACCAGAATCGAACCTGGGACCTTTCAGTCCGCAGACCGACGCTCTATCCACTGAGCCAAACCAGTTAGGGCCCCATCAATTTTTAGGAGTGGAAGGAGGGAGGGAGGCAGGGGGAGAGAGGGGAGAGAGAGAGAGAGAGAGAGAGAGAGAGAGAGAGGGAGAAACATCGATTGGTTGCCTCCTGCACACACCTGGCTGGGGGCCAGGGATCAAACCTGCAACCCAGGTACATGCCTTTGACCAGGAATCGAACCTGCCACCCTTTGGTGCACTGGCCAACAGAGCAACACTGGCCAGGGCCTAGCTTTATTTTTTAAAAGGATGCAATTTAAAAATAATCAACACAAAAGCCTTCCCAAGGCCACCTCTTTGTCCCTTCTGGCCTGCCAGCCCTTTCTCCATAACAAAACCCAAGTCTTCCTTCGGAGGCGCATTTTGGCTGGCCTGGTGTATTCTCTGCCACCATCCTCGCTGCGACCCCTCCTCCAGCGTGTCCTCTGCAGCAGCCCTGGGCTGAGGGGACTCTTCATTCCCAGAACCCCTCAGGCTCTGAGCCCTCATCCTCTCAGCCCCACCAGGCCCAGAGGCAGGGGATCAGTTGGTCAACCCATAGCCCTGTTCCAAAGCCCCTGCTTGGATCTAGACTCCCGGTGGTCAAGAGGGTCTCACCGCTGCTTCCCCTCACCTCACCAGCTGGGAAGCCAGGAAAGGAGTCAGTCTGTCTACCTAGCACCCAACAGAAAGGAAAAGCGAGACCACACATTTGCTGACCGCTCTGCAGCCTCCAATACCACCATCCTATGGAGGACACCGGCTGAGCCAGCAGGTGTGACTTCCCCAAGGACCCCATGGACCCACGTCATATGACTCCAAGCCTCCAAGAGAGAATCTTGTTCCCTGTCTCTCATCGTCTAACCCAGTGGTTCTCAACCTTCTGGCCTTTTAAATACAGTTCCTCATGTTGTGACCCACCCATAAAATTATTTTCGTTGCTACTTCATAACTCTAATGTTGCTACTGTTATGAATCGTAATGTAAATATCTGATATGCAGGATGGTCTTAGGCGACCCCTGTGAAAGGGTCGTTCGACCACCAAAGGGGTCTCGACCCACAGGTTGAGAACCGCTGGTCTAACCCCACTTAATGGCCTTGGGGCTAGAGAAGGGGTTGGTATGAGATGGGCACAGGGTGAGCACAGGGCACACAGTGACCTAGGCTCTGGGCCAGGGTGGGGGCAGGTAGGGGCAGGGGCGGCTCACCTGGAGCCCAGATGAAAGTGCTGATGCAGCTGTAGGCTCATGTTCCCTGGGCAGCCACCCCTACCTCCACGGGTGAGCACAAGGTGCCCCCTGCCGAGAGGCCTGGCCTGGTGGTCAAGTGACTCTTACTTCTGGGGGATTAGAGGCTGGAATTCAGCTTCCACAAGGAAGCAAAGGCCCAGATAGGGAGGAACACTCATGGTTGATTACACTGAATGAGATGCAGCCAGGCTGGGCACAGGCCCATATGGCTGCATAACTGTCAGAGGTGCCATTCACATCGTGTTGGTCCTGGGGGGTCCAAAAGGAGCTGGGGACATGCACATGCGTATGTGTCCTGTGACTCCTGCAGGGTCTGGGCGAGGGGTGCTCTGTGGCCATTTCAGCTGCTCTCTCCAGAATACTGGCTTGGGGATATAGCCAAGGCAGAAGCCAAGGAGAAGCACCATAGAGCCAGCATCCTACCTCCAGCAGAGCCCAGGGTGCTGGCTTCCGGGATGACGTCCTGGCCAGCTGAGATGGGTGGGGAGGGTAACCCCACCAGCCAAGGATGCTACCTCTTCCCGTGGCTTCCTTGTGCTGAGGGGCTGACAGAACCCAGAACCCAGATGCAGGGCCAGAGCTTGGACCGGAGAA